TTAAAATCCCCCATGATAACAACGTCTGGTCGGCTGGCGATCTCTTTTATGCTTTTCAGTAGACAAGTATCTGGGTCGGGATCCGCCTGCGGGGGCCGGTAGATAGTTAAGACTTCGAGGGACTGAGATCCCCGCGCCTTTACAGTCAGCCAAATTGCCTCTGTGTCGTTAGAAATCTTGTCGGTCCTCTCACACACTGCTAAGTTGCTCTTGACATACAAGTCATCGAAGTGCAGGGCACAGTCCGGATTCCCAAAGCCCCGTGGGTCTGCATTAGATTTCCTGAGATCTATTCGTACTCTACGGGAAATAGTTTAGGCGCATCAAGGCGGCATTCTTATGATAAGAATTTTTGGTTCTTCTCACCATTTGCCTTTCCTCTATGAACCATCTTTAGCAGCTTACAGTCCTTTTCAGTCAGGATTGTCATGATGAGTACATTTAGATTTCACTTGCGAACTCATTTCTTATCTATGTTTATGAAGCAGCCGTCAATTGCGAAGAGAACACTGGTCGTCCTTCTGGCCGCACTGTCACACTGGAAGGTGGGATATCGGCCGGGCAACATGGCAAGAATTAAGAAGAGTCGCTACTTTCCAAGTCTTTTTCGGAGACCGTGCAATTTAATGTGAATTGGGGTGAATGGGTCCATTTATTCGCACGTCAAAATCTTCCTAGTTATCAGAGTTTTGATTACTGGTGCTCTGGTCTCTATGTCTTATAGAACACAAAGTTTTCGTGCCATGGCCCAAGTTACGCGTTCTGCTCGTCCTTGGTCCTTGCACCAATGCGCGGTAGAAGGCTGCAACTGTTGAGTGTCTATCTGCAGACATTTTGAAATATGCAGCAGATCGCAGGAATCACTTCGCAGAAACCCATGAAGGAAAAGCTACATTATTTTACGTCGTTCTACTGTGAGACTGAATTTCAGGTTTTAGTTTCTGACTATGCCCTGTTGTGGACTAAACTTAAGACTATACAGTTGCGCAATACTTCACTCGGCGGCTTCACCAGCAGAACTTAAAACGTTTTAAAACCAGCCTCGAGATAGTTTATTATGGTGGTTACAGATGGGTGCTTTTGAAATAAAGAACAAGGGGCAAGTTCAAGATCGTCCGTCATTGATAAACTGGAATTAGTTCCACTATTCTGCCCCGAGACTCGCATTCAAGGTGACTATTTGGACATTCTCACAGAGGTAGGCAAAAGAATTCTGCCAACCGGTCTCCTGAACTTTACATAACAGATCGGGAGGTGCCTTTCAAAATGTTAATAGCATGGAATGGGACTTGCCTTACTTTCCTGTATTGACAGAGGATCTCATACCATTCCGGTCGAGAGTGAGCTATGCAAGGTTGGCAGCAGAGTGCAGGTAGTTGGTCAAAGTCCGCGTTTTACATGCGATGTACTGTCACCGTTACAGTGTCTGGTTGAGAGTGGATAACTCAAATGAGGCCGCCAAAAACCGATTGCCGCTGAAATACTAACCATTCAATTCTGAGGAAAGTTTTATCTGTTACTATGCGTCACATTTACCGCAGTACTTAAGGCTTACGAAAAGCATAAGAAGAGGAATAGATATTTTATAACAGCAGAAGAACCCTCTTTAGTATTAGGTGAAACAGTAGGTAAATGCGTGTGTAAGACTTAAACGTTCACTTTTCAAGTCTTCCTTCTACGGTTGTTCCCGCTCTTGTAGGAGTTATAGGTCCAACTACTTACAATGCGACGATTCCAGTGAGAAGTTCTGATTCAGGACTCGTTGCCGGTAGGACTCTCGCCTTCGTGGGACACTGAAGGTAAAACACAACATCGGTTAATAAGTACCTCCACTTTCAAAAGCGACTACGTTCGTAGTATGTCGCGTCCGGCATGAAAATGTAAATATAACGGTGCTAAACGACCAAATACTGTGAAAGTTGTTACTTTTAAATGGTTGAACTTGAAAGAACAAACATTCTGCTTGGACTCGAGTGGACAGACATGATAAGAAGTGCTGTGGATAAAGTGAACGGTAAAAAGGTAGTCGCAATTTCAGATGTAAAGTCTCGATTAGAAGAACAAGAAAAGATGGCAAAAGTTAAAATTCGGGTACATCTGGTGGGTTCTTCATTTAGGAGGAAGGGAAAACGAGATAAGAAAAGATGACGGGAAAAGAAGGGCGGAGGAAAGAGTAGAAAGACATAGAAATGGACAGTATTCAAGGGCTATTGAAAGCCCTAATAAAACGAAAATGGTATGGGCAAGCATACCAACGGTGTGAACGGTGGCTAAAGTGTAGAATGATAAGTAGCCTGTGGATACAGCTGGAGAGGAAGCAGTGCAAAGAACAGCTCTGGAGCCACTGGACGAAATAAGGAAGAAGGCATCCCTCAGCATTAGTGGCTGTCAAACTAAGGAAGAAAGTAAGAGTAAGGATGGCATCGTCTCACGATTGCATGCTGTTCGTCGGGTTTTTACAGCCCTTAGAATGTGTAGTTGCACGGGACCTGACATCGCTATCTCCACGAAGACCCGTACATACCGAGTATCTGTCCAATCACTCCTCCTCTGTGGGCGACTGTGCGTAACAAAATGCTAGCGGATAAACTGAAGGACTGTTCACAACTGTCTACTCCTGAATATTGTAATATATCAGAAGGCCTTCCTTACACCGCCTTTAATGAAATATAATCTAGGAAGATAAACTACCAGCACTGTATTCTAACTCAAAACCAAAATAGGTGACGGCAGAAAAGCGGTTCTATGTATTCCACACGAAGTATTTCTTAAACAAGGTAGAACGTCCGAAATGTGGTTCATACTGCTTAGCTAAAAGAAGACCAATTGTTTTATAGCATTGATAAGGCCTCGGATCACAAATAAACCACAAAGCAAACTGAATTAAGCTTATCCGCTCACAAATTTCTTGCCCTTCGAACCCCACCGGAACTGTAATTTGAAGCCCTGGCCCAGATCTTCATTGTTATGGTCCCCCTTCTACACAACATCGGCAAATGGGCATGGGCTTAATGGTCCGAAGTATTCGGAGTGCTAAAGTGCATAATTTCACTCTTTGCAATATCTACTCTAGTTAACTGTTAGAAACTGTTGTTCATTTCATAAGAACTACGCAGAGTGAATCGTCTAATTTCACAGCAAAGCGGTAGAGCCCAGCCACGATTTACATCCCAAGTCCGAATGTGACAAAGTATGCAAAGTCGACGACACTAGTCCTCCTCGGTCGCGCACGCCGCCAACACCAGGACTGGTTCGACAACAACGACGCCGCCATCAGCCATCTGCTCGCCGAGAATAACCGCCTACACAAAGCATACATAGACCACCCGACTGACGACAACAAAGCTGCTTTTTATCGCAGTCGTCGCCACCTTCAGTAACGACTGCGCGAGATGCAGAACACCTAGACTGCTCCCAAAGCTGAGAAGATCCAAGGCTACGCGAACCGCAACGAGTGGAAGAAGTTCCTCTTCTCCGCGATCAAAGCTGTCTACGGTCCGCCGACGGAGGGCACTGCTCCTCTCCTCAGCGCCGACGGTCGTACCCTCCTGACTGACAAGACACGAATTCTACAGAGATGGGCCGAGCATTTCCGAGACGTCCTCAATCGCCCCTCCGCCATCTCCGACGCCGCCATCGAGTGTTTGCCGCAAGTGGAGACCAACGTGGACCTCCACCTTCCGCCATCTCTCCAGGAAACCATCAGGACCGTGCAACAGCTCTCCACAGGGAAAGCACCCGGATCGGACGCAATCCCTGCTAAGGTCTTCAAGCACTGAGGTTCCCAAATGACGGATCACCTGACTGCGCTCTTCCATAAGATGTGGCGCCAAGGTGAACCCCCGCAAGATTTTAAAGACGCAACCATCGTGAATCTCTACCAGCGAAAAGAGAACCGCCAAGTCTGCGACAATCACCGCGGCATCTCCTTGCTGAACATCGCCGGGAAGATCTTCGCTCGTATACTCCTCAATCATCTGAATAATCATCTGGAACAGAGCCTTCCGCCGGCAAGCCAATGCAGCTTCCGTCGTCATCGCGGAACCACGGATACATCTTCGCCGCCCGCCAACTTCAGGAGAAGTGCCGGGAGATGCGGACCCACCTGTACTCTACCTTCGTGGACCTGACGAAAACCTTTGACACGGTGAATCGCTAAGGACTGTGGAAGATCATGCAGAAATTCGGCTGTCCGGAGCGATTCACTCAGATGGTGTGTCAGCTGCACGACGGTCTGATGGCGCGAGTCACGGACAACGGAGCTGTCTCAGAGACATTCGCAGTGACCAATGGAGTGAATCAGGGCTGCGTACTGGCGCCTACCCTCTTCAGTCTCATGTTCACTGCCATGCTGATGGACGCCTACCGCGACGAACGCCCCGGGATCCGCATCGCCTACAGAACGGACGGTCACCTCCTGTATCAACGGCGGATGCACTTCCAATCGCGTGTATCCACAACCACCGTTCCCGAACTCCTCTTCGCCGACGACTGCTCCCCGAACACCACCTCGGAAGATGAGATGCAACGGAGCATGGACCTGTTCTCTGCTGCCTGCGAGAACCGCGGTCTGGTCATTAACACGCAGAAGACGGTGGTGATGCATCAACCTCCACTCCACTCAGTCACAGCCCCCAACGCGCCGCCGAAAATCAGCGTGAATGGAACCCAACTGCAAGTGGTGGAGAACTTCTCGTACCTGCGCTGTACTCTCTCCTGCAACACCAAGATCGACGACGAAGTCGCCAGCAGGATCTCGAAAGCCAGTCAAGCCTTCGGTCGCCTCCAAAGTACAGTCTGGAATCATCACGGTCTCTAACTGAGCACGAAGCTGAAGATGTACAAGGCCGTCATCCTGCCGGCGTTGCTGTACGGAGCGGAGACTTTGACAGTATACACAAGGCAGGCATGTCGACTGAACCACTGAACTGTTTCAGAGGGAGGTGGGCTACATCGTCCAGTGCTGGTTTACCCACGCAGCAAACGGTCCGGATGTAACCATCCGGTTCTGCAAAATATTTTGTTGCAGCAAAAATTCTGACGTTGATAAAAAGGGGTAGGATTTGGGAGAGGGAATGACGGACAGGTAAACTGGTAACCATTGATAGCTAACTCGTTTTCGGCTGGAAATCCGCGGGCCAGATACTGCAACACATTACCGCTGGAACGAAACTGAGGATCGGATGAGTTAACTGATCCATTTTGGACACTAGCATGAGGAATACATTGGTAAAACGGCGGTGGTGGAAACAAGTTAGGGAGTGGGGGACTCATTGATTCCATTGGAGCAAGAGTTCTATTTAACGGCGGGAAAATCGGCATATTCGGCCTAACTGCCTCGATATGAGGGCTGGGGGGCAGTTGGGAACACGCTTTGAGTCGGGGTATTTGAGGCACTGTTAGCCGATTGTGGAGGAAAAGATTTATTAATGGTGCTGAATTTATCGGGTGCCCGAGTGGCTGAGACAGCAATTGGATTTACCTTTGACGTAGGCACATGCTTAAGCTTACTAGGGGTTGCTGTGGGAGTCGTTAGGGGCGTTTGTATACCAGGCGTGTTGTTGCATCTAAAGATCTCAACATCAATAGTAGTCGAATTCCCTACGGTATTGACTATGTCGTGACGTGCAGAGGCCGCAGATAGTGTTGTAAAGGACACATTCAAACTGACAGTAGGTGCCATTATCCTGGTGTTGGTTTTTGCCGATTTTAATTTATTCAGTCTTCGCTGCAGCGGTGTGAGGTCTGGCGAAACGGAGCAGTGCCATTTACGACAGAATTCTCTAGTTATCTCCCTCCTCAACAAGATAAAATCGACTTCGATCATGGAGAAAAGGGTAACAAGGATCGGCGCATTACGGCTAAGCGAGCGCAATCGTTTAGCTTGTGCGACACTGAAACTTAAGCCACAGCTTTGTAGGAGCAAATGCGCTGCCTCCATAGCAGATAAGTGGCTCAGAATGTTTCGCAGTACAAAATTATACTTGCGTTTAATTCTCTCCTCAGTTTCAGAACTTATTACCCCAATAAGTCTAAAAGCTTGTTCAACTACTTTTCAGAAGTGTTGTTTATGTCGCCATAAATCAACTGATCGACTATTTCGCCGGCTGATGGCCTGCTACGACTAGCAGAGGCGTATTTTTGGACGATTGAAGGGTCAAGAGGTTCTGCATGTACTAAAGGGATTTGTGAGTTAACCTTATCTGCAGAAGGCGAAGAACATATGCGGGCAACTGCTATGTCTCCGGTGGCTATTCTAGCACCCGGAGACAGTGGGGAGGCCGCAAGCTTTCGTCTTTTATCACGTGCTCTGCGGGGCATTACCGACAAGATAAGTTTTTCGTTACGGTACAAGGAGCAAAACGTTGCTAACGTACAGAAAAACGCACTGAATAGCAAGTACTACTGTTATTTTACTACGAACACTAGAAAGAGATAGTCGGGAAAGGAGTCACTAGAAAGGTTTTTTTTTACAAAATACGACTTTTTTGCCAGACTACCAAATAAAACTGGGAAAAGTTATACCTTATATTGAAGAGCGACTTTTAAAAAGGATTCAAGTAAAAAACAACCATAAATTGCTTAAGAATATATAAGTAAATGCAAGGCTTCACTTATCTTTGTAATTGAGCTGCGCGCCTTGACAGACTGTTGCGAATGGCCGAATGCACTGTAGCAGACGGAGAAGTGACGCCAGCTCTCAAGTTGCGGCTCATTCAACGAGATCCGGCCACACATTCAAATTTGACGAGGCCGAAATTCCCGCAAGATCTGACAATCGCGTGAGCCGGGAGCTGCTTCAGTCATGGTTTACTGGTTGCCAGTCTATAAACAAGTACAACGACCTATCACTTCTATATTCGATGTTAAAACTTCGCTTTGGCGAAGTAATTAGCCACGCGGGAGACGCACAGCTGAACACTGTTCCCAACGCCAGGGTGGGTGCGTCAGATGGTCGAGCAATTATCACACCAACATCCAACACACTTGATGAAATTACAGCAATTAACGGCGCAAATGTTAGCCATCAGACAGTCATCACACCAAGTGCAACGATCCCTGATGAAGGGGGAGCCGCGAATATTCACAGGTATGCGGTAACATGAGGAATGCATCCTACAAATACTGCAGCCCGTATCCGCTTTTGTCCCTGATGATGGGTTTGAGCAGGAATCCGATACGTCAGACGAGTTTCTTGTCTCAGCGATCGTGTCTCCGTCTTCACGACCGCTTTCTGGGACTCGTCTCTTCGCTTCTGTTGCCTGTATATTACTTATACCCGAGTACCAGCTGCTTATAAGCGTGTGTAAAACATGGATTTATAGTTTCAGAAGGAATATATACATTTACTTGTACTTCTGAGGCGATTGGGCGAACAATAACAGCACGGGGTTTACCAATCCCCTACGCCCTGGTAATCTACTGACCTCTGACAAATTATCCCAAGGCTGACGACCGTATGATTAAGGATCTGGAAAGATTTCCTATTCGGTCTGACATTTAAATCATGGCAGACTTCAATGTACCTCTTATCTACTAAATGTCAACATAAACATCCACGGGCATGAATGTTCGCTCAAAACTGACGACTTCTTTGAATTCACGACCACGAGTCACCTGCGCGGTCACCCTTATAAAGTCAAGCGGGAGCGTACACGCCTAGACAATCGGAAGTTTTCCTTCAGCCAGCGTGTTGTTCGACCGTGGAACTCACTCCCAAGTAATGTAGTGACATCTAATACAATCGCTGTATTCAGAAGGCAGCTGAATCGCTTGGTCTTTGATAAACGACGACTTTCACAACAGGGCTATCTGCGGCCAGCCACAAATTTCATTTCTTGATTTCATCCCTACTTAACACATCCCTGACTTTTAATTAGATGCCTCCTCTCAAACTATGCAAATGACTGCACTTTATGCTGATTGTATATAACTGCACTTAAAATTTCATGTGTACACTGAGAAGACCGCCTGCCGCACCATTCGCAGTCCCGCATTGTGAAAGTTTTCCGTGAACAAGATTTTAGTAAAATATACATTTAAAATTTATATTTTATGTACCGTTTTCAATAAGGTCATCAAGGGCATTGCCTATTACCCTAAAATACACTATGCACAGACTGAAAAAACATCCGGTCTAGACCTTAATTTTGGCCGACGTTTGCTAGAAATGGGGCTCAGGTTATTACTCGCTTAGCATGTCTCGTTTCCGACGACGATGCGCGAAGGGCGACGGTAAAATTGTGTGGATCTGGTACTTGCGAAGTCGCTGTAAGGCATTAATAAAGCTGTCCCGTCGTACTCTTTTATGAGCACTCCATCTTTTTCCTTCCTGAACAAGCCGCAGAGTTAAAATGAATATTTGGCGCAGCGACTTTGATCAAATGAGGGCCGAACTAAACACCATAAACTGAAAATCAGCTTTTCCCGGCGACACAATCAAGGATCGGGACTGGTTTAGTGACTTATTGCACACTCTCCCCAGATATCACTGTCCGATTCCACGGAAGAGACTGAACAAAAGACCCCGTGGCTAATACAAGCATCAAATATAAGCAAATCAAAAACGAAGATTATGGAGGAAATTTTCTGCGGATAGGTATGCTATGTCGACAAATGCATACAAACCAGAGAGGAATTTATTTAAGCGACTAATTCTCCGAACACGGTGGGCTTTCAAGAAAGACCTACTAAATCGGGCTGCAGAAAATCCGAAGTTATTATATGGCTACAGGACAAGGGGTATGCGAAGCGGAGACCCAATCCCATTATTGAAGACCTAGAGAATAGTGAAAACGGAGCAAAGGGAAAACACCTTTCACCATGTTTAAGTCCATATCTACAAAGGAGAGCGTATTTATTCCTCCCGTCTGCAACTCAGCAGAAGGGCAAGTGTGCTTATATATGTTTGTATCTCCTGACTGTACTGTGTTGGCATACTTTTCGTATGCCCTTATGTACAACTATTTATTAGGTGAGTGAAAGAACCCATATTCCAGACCACCACAACTTTGGACGGCATTCATTATTGTTCAGCTCACACGTAAAAATACGTCGTGGTATTGTAAATTACCTGTCGCCACATGTTTCTTTACCCTAATCCACATCAATTTTTAAAGTAAATACTTCGGTGATTTTTGTTACCACCTGAGCTTGATATGACCTGATGAAATATCACTTCATTTCCATTTCGCATCAGAAGCAGCCACGATAGCAAGACGTCGGATACGGAAGATTCACAAACTTCGGTCGAGAAAGAAAACTAGTCCGACTTAGCATTCGCGTGCAGTTACTTTTTATCATATTTTGTGCCTCCCTTTGAACCCAGAAACCTAGCTATTCATACTTCTAAGATTATTTGCTCCTAATGCAATTCTTCTTCTTTCCCACACATTATAACACGAATTGGAGCCCGCAGGTTTCATATCAACCAATGAGCATAATTATTTATCCATATCCGCAACTGTACAGTTGAGCACGTTGATAAATTTATAACTTTACAACTGCAGGGACGCCGTAATGCCTAATAAACACCTCTACCATGTGCGGTCCTCGTGATTGTACAGTATAAATCGAAGAAATGCAGTGTTTATTAAAAGTATCTTTGTCTGTTTTTTTAAGTTTTTCCTCTCTCCGCGAAGGCATGTTGGTGCTTAAAAGCGTTCTGCCAGTGAAGCCCAAATTTAGTTCAGAATGGTAAACTTGCAATGCATGCTGACGATAAACACTGGTAGATCTCTATATACTGTTCAAGGCCTTGAAAGGCGATCTCAAGACCTTCACCAAATCGTACTTAGCATGACGCCGTTCCCTTTCATGGCACAAAAGTGCAATTCTTATTGTTGGGGATGATCGTCAATTTAAGCCGAACATTGACGCTCACGACATAAGTATGCCAGGAGGCACTAAGGACCAGAATATTTCCCACTCCAGCAGACACAGTCTTTCGCACCATTGCATTTGGACTGTCTTCAAAGTACAAGGACAGTCGGATTTCTGCTCCGGAATATTACAATTAACGATGCTAGACACGTTTCTATGAAGCCTGCGTTAACTGTAACGCAAAATATTTTCACTTTTATTTTAATCTCTTGCTCGCAAGAAGTGGAGACACTTAAATGCCGGTTTGGTAGACGCATGCTACTGCGACAAACGGACTATATGACTTTGTAACCATAAAACCATTGATCTATGCGAATCAATGTCTGCATTCACTTAATGCTGCAAGTTCTTCGCATTTTTGTCTTTTTTCTCGATTTTTTATATGCAACTAGGGAGTTCAAAGGCGAAAGCCTATTTCCCTCAAATACGCTGACTGACTGACTGAGGAGTAAATGTGACCCAACAGGAAAATTCTACCACAGTTACCGGTCGGTCGTCTCCCATATCCCCACTATAAAAACGTTAGATGATGATTACGCCTTCGGCCATCCTGATTTGCCTGTACAAATTTTATTCGTATGACTTAACACAAGAAAAACCCATTTTTGTCGCTATTTTCATTGCTCAGGAAATCTCTTTCCACAAATCCGTGTTTTATTATCACTTCCATCTAAACCTTTCGTCAGTTTCTTTCTTTTTTCAGTTTCCATTGTCTTGTTCTATTTGGGATTCATTGTGTTTTTTATAGTTGGAGTGCTTGTGGAGCTGTCGGACCCCTTTCTGCCCTGAGTTAAAACCACCACATACATTTCTGTTGAGTAATCCTGCGCCTTGTCTAGATTTCATGCCACTGTAAGCTTTTATAAAATAAGAATGCGATGTTGAGAAGTCCTAGTGTCCGGACAAGTTTGGGAGTTTGGAGTGAACTAAGAGCAATTCCTGTATGTTTTAGTGTTTTTGGCTAAGGGCGCTTAATTTGGACCCGTTGGCTTGGTGGTCAGTCTTTGGCTCATCTAAAACAGTAGCGAAAAGGAAAGACACGCGAGGACCTTGATCCACTTCAGTTTCCCTTTTCCCTATGTCTCTTAGCGACGGTGTCTACGGTGGAAGTGTGGCCAACCGGTGAACCCCTCGCGACCAGAAATCCCCTGCATTCTAATGTTCTCTATCCTAACTCTTTTCTCTCTCTGTATTTTTCGTTTCATATCTTCGTTGTTGTAACAAAGATGTGTCTCGAAATACAGGGAGAGAAGACGGAGTTAGGAAACAGAACGTTAAAATGGAGGAGCTTTCTTGTCGCGAGAGAGGTTCACTGGTTTGTCAGGTTCGTTTACGTATATAGTCTGTCGTGGATGTTTTCTCTGTCCAAAAGATAAATTACCTCTCCCGGAGTTCCTTAGAAAGAAGTTGAAAGTTAAGCGTGTGTTAGCGCACACTGATTCTCTCCTCTTTGCAATGTATATCAGTTTTAACAATCATGACATATGAGCCAGCTGCGACACGTCTTACTTTAAAAGCTTTATTGTTCGCACTACGTTCTCCTTATCGTTCTTAGTCCTGAGTTCTAGTGGGTTTTGGTTAACAGTTGCTTCTCTAGTGACAATTCCGTGCTGATGCGACAGCGACTCGCTGTGGAAAAGTCGCGATACGGCACTGTCTGGCTGCGAGAAGGAAAACCCTTCCATCGCGGCATATGCCCTTTAGCACCTGCGAACACTTTCCAGCACCTCCTGTCCGGCCTATTACTGTACTTACTATGTAGTTCTTCAAGAGAAATTTAAATGGAGGCGTTTTTCGTGTAGTGAAAAAAATAAAATCTATTGTGAAAAACAAATAAATTACATAACTGGTCTTCAGATCTCATCATTTGTCCAGGATGATGGTCCTGAAGTTAAGTAAGTGTATTTAGAGTATGGTTACACTAATCATCAGAGTCATGCGGTGTTGTCCGGCTGTGGATGTCGCAATTGGGAGGCCAGATTTCCACCGTGGACACCGTTACTAAGAGACAGAGTGAAAAGGGAAGCGAAAGCGAATCAAAGTTCTTGCCCGTTTGGAACTGCTGAGTAGATTGTGCTGTAGGGACTGCTTATAAGAGTCTCGCGACCACAAACCTAAGCGATTGTTGTGTTATTAGCGGTGCCTTAAATTTGCAAATATAACCCTTCTTCATTTGAGCTTTAAATTGATACATTGATACATTGATACATTGATACATTGATACATTTAAATTGATACATTGATAAATTGATACAATTGATTTACATTGATAAACTGTTGGCTAAGAGTTTCTTCAGCGTCTGAGTTTCCCCGTTCGTTTACGTTCTTCGGATGTTCCCGGGCTGGCCCTGGGCTGTTGGTTTTTTATCTGGTCCTGTAAGATAATTTTACCAGCTTGTAGTTAACTCTTCATTGAAATTGTAGTTTTGTGCGGACGACTAGCGCGAGCACGCAACCGGATCTTGTCTGAGTAAGTTAATAATCCGTAAGACCTTGTACCGTCAAAAGTGTAACCTATACCTTTGGCCCTGTCTCTCTAAATTACGACAGTCACAGGTCCATCTAAGCACTGTAACTTTCTGTCACTACATGCGATTTGTTCATGTTCTTTAACGTTTGACCTGAAAAATGACTAACACAATTGGCCGGAGCCCAACTTTGTTCATAATTATACAAGACCTTGTCGAGCCCACCTTAACAGCGTCTGTGGTATTTGGTGCGTCGTGGATCACTGCCCTTACAGTTGGGTTTTCTGTGCTTTCTCACCGTTCCTCTTCCATGCTCCAGCCGCTTGCCGACTTTCCTCATTCTTACCTACAAGTTTTTGATTATCGTCTAACTGCCTTCAAAAATTTCTCATTGTTTATAGAACAAGAGTCAGTGCATCAGTTTCTAACATTAAGAAGCTGCAGTAATTTAACTCTGTTTTCCGGAGGCTTACCTCTGGCAAACAGTCTGTCATAATTCCTGGGTCCTCCAGTGGCCATTTTCCAAATTTCGAGGAATGAACATATTCTCCTTTCCTCTGTAGTAGGTGTCCGAAGTTGCCAGCAAAACGTTAATTGCCTCCTTATAATGTTTTCAATGGCTACCCATAGAACGACTCTCACGTTTCTTATAATGAGTTAGGGTAATTTCGACGCTTTTAGATTGTCCTTTCAAATGCGTGGCAAGAAATTCAGGCTTTAGCTTGACGTTTGCCTCAAACTTGCAATCATGAAGCGTCTCAATAACACCAGTATATGCTGTGTAAAACTAATTTGCAAAATCCTAAGCGTTATCTCTTTCAGGTGCGACAACTGAATCCCCCTTCATTTTCTTCCATCCTGTGATGTCGCGAAATTATGAAGCAGCCATTTGCAAGAAACTCCGAAACCTTCAAAATACACAGGGTTCAATCCAGAAGACTTCGCGTGCTCTTCTTAAAAACAAACACCTTGCAAAGGATATAGTGAAACTATGGTTTAAAGAATTTCGCGCAGGTAAAAACTCTATTGTGTGCTTATCTATCTGTTTATCTTAGCGCCTGACGGCCAAAAATTGGCCTTCCTGCATCTTGCCAATGACATTATACAAAACGGACTGACTTCAGCGCCCCAATTCGCCAAACTCTTTGAACCGGTCCTCAGCCCGGCTTTTCGTGAGACCGCCAGGTAAGTGCTTTCCTGCACACCATTGGTGTGGTCACTGTCGATCATGTTGGTGCAAGCTGTCCCTTTCTAACTTCATGTCATTGCTCATCTTTTTAAGACTCCCATCCAATGGCATACGTTCTGCAATCGCCCATCTATTGATTGTATGGGCAGATAGGCAGGTATACCCGCGCGCTTTCCTTCGACAGTTGCGCTCTATTTGCCAGGCATCTGCCGCTCAAGCTGACAGTACCCTGGACCCGGTAAGACCCGCTCGCCCTCCTGCTACGTTATTATTCTGAGCCTCAGTTGGATGTTGGTGCCTGCACTTTGTCAGGATGTTGTCATCTCGTGTACGTACCTGTCCTCTGGGGGAGGGGGGGGGGCGTATATGCGGCCTGGCGTTCAAGTAATCCGGATATTTCGGCTTGCAACTCGACATCATTATTATGGCTGGACTTGCCCATGAAACCAACCAGGACTGGGAATTATGTCTCATCGGACACACTAATACCCGATGCGTATTGTTACGGACTTGAATGCAACCAAAGTATGCTTCAACTAACTGTCTATACCGTGTCGACCGAATCCTGCTACCAATTCAAGTGGAGACATGGATTAGACTTTGTGCCTCTGCTAGCAAGTCTTCTTGTTCTAACGATAGGCAACAGTCGCCATGTCATGGTACCTTTATGACTTGCGGCCGTATTGTAAACTGTTTTTCCAAATCGCTGCCCAGTCACGCCCGAAGGCTTTGTCGCTTCGTCTTTTTTGACTGCTGGTCGTTTATTATTCACTGCCCGTCTACACACAGGATAGCTCACAGCTAGGCTAACAAGTATACCCTGTCTTCCTCGGATCCATTTCGCTCCGATTTACCAACTTTTACGATTGTCCTGTTCTGACTGGATAAGCGTCTTATTTTTCGCAGTTCGCCATCAGAAATGCTCCTCTTTTAAGGGTAAAAGAGCATTTCAGAAGAGTGTATAGAGGTGGGTGAGAGTGCATTTAGTCTGCTCTTCTTTTCACCAGGGGGCACGCCTACATGCACACATAAACTACGTTTTAGGAGCTTGTCTCTTTTTGGCGACTTTTCCATCTCCCCT